GTGAGGTTCAGTATACTTTCTAGTGCAGGAGCCTAGGGGGTTAGGCTTAATCCAACGGGTTGAGATACCTGCATTTGTTTTTTGATTGTCAATTAACTGATTAGTGAGCTATTTCGTTAGCATTCTAGTTTATCAGGGTAACCATACCAGCTGTTGATAATCTCTTCCCCCCAAACAGCTCTAGATTAGATTCACATCAAAGAGTTAATTGACCACACAGTACAAGCTCAGTCAGTGCCCATGATGCTAAAAACATTGGAGTTATCCCTGTAACAGGTAGGCAAAGTCTACGGACAAATCTGTGCTCCAAGAATGGGCCAGTTCTGTATTTCAGAAAGCAAGGTCATTCCGGAGGGGCAGCGAGTCCACACGACCTACGATGCGCTTCATTTTGGACAAGTGCTGTAGCAATACCGCACCGGGTCGTTAAGGGACCGCATAACCTTTGAACTCACGTTCAACGTTCTGCTTCTCCACCTTCTCAAACTTCCTCAGTTTCTCCTCCAGGGTCTCGTCGGGTTCCGTCTGCTCCTCTAGCTCCCTCAGCTTCTGCATCAGAGTCTCCACATTGCTACTTGCTCCTTCCAATTCCTTGGGGCAAGAAAGGGAGCAAATAAAGATGGACTTGAAGGTGACAGTTTGGTTTCGCCTTCCCGAAACTACCATGAGGTATTATTAAATACACGGGGGCATCCTCAAACAACCAGGTATAATTCGTGACTATTATATAAAAGAAAGGTTTGACAACAGATTCTTTTCACGTATTGATGAGGCAAGGTGAACTCCATTCTCCGAAAATGCCGGAGAGCAAAAGCTTGCCAGCTCAGCCTCTCTCCCAAGTCACTGCTGGTCGGCCTCACAAAGGTATTGAAGGCATTAAAGGTAGCGTCCCTCACCTCTGAATAATTGTTGTTGGACGGACTGCCTGGATCGTCACCAAGCGAGGGCGGCCTGCAAGTGTGGCCACCCTCCATATCAATCTCTGGGTTGATGCCGCAGCCAAACACCATCCCGGCCAGCGAGCTGAAGTGGGTGGTAAGAACGATGGCTTGTACGAGCTCTGATAGTGCCCAGCTAGACGGACCCTTCAAGAGATCCTAACATGGGGAAAAAGAAAACATTTGGTTTCAAATTTTGGTGGACAGATCATGATTTCCTAAGACATCACTGAGAACAATTTCTAAAATACATGACTACAATAAAAATCAATTTACAATGCCTGGACACCTCATTCCACCAAGAGGAAATCATGATGGCTGGAAAAGATGGTGCCAATGGAATACTGGAAGCGTCTAGCGTGTGAACGGGGAATAAAAAAAAAAAAACTTCATAATGCGGACTCCTTTTTGGGCAAGGTACATTCAAATGGGGGCATTTCAGGGAATCCACATCAGCTCACATTTGGAGCGTGCATCATTTGCGTGCATACTTAATTTCTTGGTATCAACACGTGGCAGCTTTTAGTAGATTTTGAAATTCCAATTTGCGATGTTTTGGCATTTGACTTTATCACTGACAGCTGCTGTGAATCCATTTATTTCTCGCATGCCTGCTGGGAGGGGAGAAAGGCAATGCAATAACCTCGTCATTAACCCACGCAATTTAAATCGCTTTAAACAGAAGAATTAGGCCAAATTGAATCCGAGAGCCAAAAAAGCTTGGAATTTTAGTAGCCCACAACCAATTTTCTTACGCATGGTTAGGCACATTAAATAATGGCGCATACATGTACATGCATTATTCATGCGAGTAAAAAACAGATGACTTTTGTCATTAAGAGTCTAGACATACATACACAGTTCATGTGTAATGCAAAGTAACAGTTGTAGAAATCTTTGCTTCTGCAGTGAATGTGACGAACACCTTGGATCCATTTTAACTCCCCTCGATCTTCCAAAAGCTGTCGGGAGGCCTTAAAGGATTTTGAAGAATGTAGGTAGGTACAGTAGTGGCCAGCCACTATTGCTTCAGCCGGATTAGGATCACATGTGAAACCCCTCAAGCTGCCAATTAATTGGCCACCCTTCTGCCCTCACCCCTCCCTCCCAGACCCAGCAGAAAGCAGTGCCTAGGAGGTACCGGGTACACGTGCATGTACTGGCATGAGCCTGATTGGGCCGCTCACCTCCAAGTGCTCTTTGGTGATGAGCCAGGGCTGGTGCACCAGGAGCTTGATGAGTTCCGCCAGCCGCCGGAGCTTGTCTGGGATGAAGGGCAGCCCTCTGAGCCACTCCGGATCTCCCCCTTGTGCCAGGAACTCATTCTCTTGTAACCTGACAATGTAGCTGCATTGGTGTCGCGCCGTCGCCTGAGAATCAATCAAGCCAAATCCATCAGTGAATCAAACTGAACTGAATCAAGTCCAATGAAATCAATGAAAATCAACTGAAATCACTGTAAAATCAATCACTTTACAAACTGAAGATAATAGTATACACCAGCTTACAAGTTTACGACAGCACCTAAACCCGATCCAATGTACACTGCACAATAAATATACACAAGGCACATTATTTGACTGGTCTGATGTCTGGTGTTTTGTTCTCAAATGACCTTACCTTTTTGAAATACCGAAGTGGGAAGAGACAGATAGTGTGAACGCCATGAAAAGTGACTACAATTAAGCACTGAAAATTACAACTGGAAGGCTACGAAACAAATTACAGAACAGATTTCTTATTTAGAAGGGAACAAACTCAGCCATTATACCGGTAACTGAAGGTAGCTGCAACAAGACTGCTGTCTTCACTGGTATCCAACAAGCAGGTACCGTACTGTACATGAACATGGATTGCTTAATTTTCCAATTTTGTCATTATTTGCAGTGTACATTTTGCCATTTTGAGGGGTTTGACCTCGTGAGCAATCACACTCAGATGCAAGTCAAAATGAACTCGAATTCCTTCTTTCTAACTGAACCTGATTTCCTTCTTTCTAAATTCTATCTTGTGCATGTGAAGGCCACTGCCCATTTACATTAGGCCATTAAACCCTAGTATCAGTGAATCATACCAATAAAACTTGGACGGTGGATGGGTCAAGATACTGGTCAAAAGCATTGAGCTACATCCTTATATACAAGAGGATGAAAGTATGGACACATCTACATCTAATGCACTGAGAAGCAAGCGGAAATGCCCACTTTGCCTGTCAGCCAGATAAACAGGGCATCAATAACTTTATGAAGAGGCACAGGAGAAGGTAACAGGCTATCACTGGTGTTATGTAACAACCCAGTGAGGTAACTCCAATGTCCTTGGTACTGGTCAGCTGAGGCTTGGTAACCATTGTTATCATGACCTAACCAGGTCAGTGGCCATTGAAAAGGAACAAATGCTCACAGGCAACATCGGCTCAAAAATGCTCCCCTGCTTCGTGGCCCATTATACAAGTACTTGTATGTTACACAATTGGGAGTCAAAATTGATTTTAAAGGTCCCAGGACAATGAGAAACAGAAAAAATGTCCCCCAAATACATGTAGAGATGGAAATACAGGTGTATGTATATGTATTTGTAATATGTATTTGTAATACATGCATGTGTACATTGTACACGTGTGAAAAGACCCGTCCTCGGTGAACTTACATTGCCCGGTATGTCGTGGGCCTACTGGTACATGTGATCAGTTGGACTACAACACTGAGTTGAATTGTAAGGGGACCGGGACTGTGTGCAAGTGATCAGCTCCCAAGCAAGTTGCGCTAAATGCAGTAACACCACGGGGCATTTTTGTTAGAGGAAAATATTGAAGTGATACGCAGGATGTGAACGGGAAAGCAAAGTGAGGGTAACAAATTGACCCGTTTTTCTGCAGCTGGTTGTTTTTTTTGGGGGGGGAGGGGATATGATGGTTTTGCAGGGAGCCAGAAAACCTTTCAGTAAAGCTATTTGTCCGGGGTTCTCCCACAAAGATCACCTAGGACCTAGGACCCTGTCTTAATGCAATTAGATTTGCATGTCCACATACATGTACATGTACAACTATACGGAACCGGTACATGTACAGTACATGTGTGCACGTGCCCAACAGTCTAGGAACACGTGCAATACAGTCCAACAGCACTGCACCGGGTGAACAAACTTTCCGGAGTGTTGCAAACATGTAGCTCTCTCTAGCCTGGGCCTTCCTGACCACAGGATCAGCCCACTCCCTGCCCACCTCTGCCAGCCAATGGAGAGGGCCGGGACGTGTTCCACTGAGCATGCCCAGTGCTGGCTGCAGCCCCTGCAGGGCTTGTGCTTTCATTACCAACATAAGTAGGTCAGTGATCTGTGGCTTGACATATCTCAGGGGACGTTTTTTATTACTTATCACAGGATAAAGGGGTACTATTGTGAGAGCCCAAGAAGTTTATATTGGGTAGAGCGGTACCTGCAAAAAAAAATCGGACTATACATGTACCATTATTGGCTATGGGAAAGTATGAAACCTGCATGTTGTAAAGGAACATTCTGGCCATGATGGAATTTCAGAAAGGAAGTTACTAAAAGAAAGTTACTGGCATATGTTTTATAGTTGCTGGCAGTGTCTCAATTTGGACATTGTTTAGGGCTTAAATTTTTGACTTCCATTTACTACCGGTAGATGCACTGAAACATTTCTCATTCATGACCCTGAATACGCGGAGGTGCATTGGGGATGGTTGCATGAAAATCCAATGGACAGTACTTCTGCTTGCTTTCTCCTTTTCTTTCACTTTCAGCAAATCAGAGGTCTACTTGAACCAACTGCAAATTGGCTGTTTTTTTTCTCTGCCCGGCAGCTCATGGAACCGGAGGCGGCTCGTGCCGTGGCCGACAGGAGCTCACAAAAAAATTCAAGATGCAGCCCAACTGCTAGGAAGCTTCATGCAGATCGATGGGGGGGGCGGCCCATCGTAAATCTGTTCCCTTTGATCACTCGCACGTTCTCTGTGCAGCAGAGCTTGGGAAAATGCAGTCTCGAGAGAAAAAAAAAAAAAAAACGCCGTGAACAATGGCTTACGAGATTGGACGGTGCAAATACCACTCTCGTTCATATTCATGTTGGCAAATATATCTGATTGTTTGCCTGTAAACAGACCTGGCCATACCTGCCCCAACATGAACTTCTATGCAGAGTGCTACGGTACATTTGCCGTAGCACTTTGTATAAAAGTATATTTACCATGGCAGAGATACCGGTAGATCTCACTTTTCAACCTATAAATAACTATAACTATCAGTTGTTTTTTTTTGGTCTAGGATTCTGTTCTTTTGGTTGTTTATGGCAATATACATGTTGATGTAGTGCCTGTGCTATTGCTTGTTTACTTTTTTTTTCTTTTGTTTTTGGCAAATTAAACAAAAAGAAATTTGCACGGTTAATCATGTGTAAATAACAGTTCAGGAATACATGTTAAGTCTCGACTAAGAAAAAAATCACAAAGAAAGTAACAAATGGAAAAAAACAGGAAAAGTATGGAACAGTGGACTCAGCGCCACCAGGATTTGGATTTGGGAGTACAAATGGGCAGGACCACAGTGAACTTGTTTTGACTGGATGCGCATGGGGAAACCTCTGACCTTCAGGGCACACAAATCAACAGGCTGGTGGAAAAGCAATGTAAACTTGCTTCCTTTGCAAAACAAGCAGGCAATCGTTCTTGGTCAGAGAAACCATGTGGAAAGATTAAAAGACCAAAAAAAAAATAAAATTACCCGTGACAAACTGTGACCCAATTTTCAGTTTGGGGCAAGGAGAAGGGGGGTGTCAGTTAATTGGCAAGTCGCAGTCTATAATATAATTTTTCAGGTCCTGAAATTGTTGTTTTTGTCATTAACACACAAAGTGGGAGGAATCCCAATTTTATTACGGGTTTAGAAAGAGGGGTTTAATTCTCATTTTTTTAAATTTTAATTTAGTGTACATATAAAATCTTGAAAGTAGAAAATATTCAAGTTTTCTGCCAAATCCTTAATAAGGAAACTTTCAACCTCCATGGGTAATATCGGCACAAAGCCGACTGAGTGTTGAAAAGTAAGGTTCAATTTTAGGGGGGATGTGTCGTTAGAGGACTTACCATTATTGCAATGAAGTGTCTGTAGTTAAATGGCAAGGGGCCGTCTCCGCGGAGAATGAAGTCCTGCGTCCGGAGGAATGCCTCCAGGTAGCTGGGGTGTAGGCCCATCACCGTCGTCAGATGGTCTAATCGATTGCTCTGAAGGAAGACGTCGATGAACAAATCTTTTGCCTGGGCGGAATCGACAAGTGAGGGAGAACGGTTTTCGCATTTTGAGCGAGAACAAGAGACGGTTGCCAAGTTTCTGAGTTGGAAGTTCACCTTCACCGAGGGGCTCTCAATAAAATGATGGGATTTTGAGTTTACATGGCAGATACCAGGATGAAACAAATATTGTCCTTTGTGGTTCACTGACCACAAGATGACTGAAATTGTCACAAAAACATGCCAACTGTAACGCTTCAGTGGGTTTGACATTCAGCTGGTCAAGACAGATAATATTTAGTTTACTATGACTCGCAGAAAGTACACAGATGTCTTAAAAGTGAGTGCTCATTTCCCACATGCTTGACTTCAATTAGCTTTCCCTCAAAAACGCCATTTGTAACACTTCTCAGATTTCAATTAATCTGTATTTATTTTCAAAAGAAAACAAAAATCGTCCACAGGGTAGTTTGACTCCTTAAACATACTAGTACATGTACTCCATGAAGACAAGTGAGACGTGCAGATTTAAGAGGAAAAAAACAAAAACAAAACAGTGACACCTTTTCCTGTTATGTTCCAGCCAGACCCACGCACACCAACTTGATGATGGCAATGGCACTTGAACATTCTACCCACCCATAAAAACGCAGAGTGTGTTCAGTTGTTTGACATTGTTACCAACAGTGTGGTAATGGCAAGTTTCATATGGCGGTGCCATTTTCTGGCCTGCTATCCCCTCCTTTTTAGTGCCTTGTGACAGAGGCAACAGAGGAACCAACAGCCCTTCTCATTTCGTACAGAACGGGTCTTGTTCCGATTGAAATAAATTGCAAACTGACCATAGTCGAGCTTGCTGCAGTGCAGTTATTGACACTGCCCCCAGGAGAGATTTGACATTTGCATCCAACTGGACAATTATTAGCCATGTCAGACCGAGTTTCACGCTGAGCTATCTCTTTTCGCGGATAAATTCTGTTCCCATGGACGTTCTCTGGGGCAGGTTGGAACTTGTAGACTTTGTGCCTTGCCGTTAGTACAGGTCATTCACAATTCCAGTAGAAAAGATCTTTTGAGCTTAAACTTGTCTGTTTAAATCAAGTCTATCCCTTTTCCAAATACAAAGTTTGAAATGGTTAATACTGTACAGAAGAATTGGATGAGTCAATTCCAATTTTGATTGAGTTTGGAACCATTTCACAACCGAAACCTGAGTCTGAATTTCACATCTGAAAACAAAGCTGTAAAATTCAGGGCCCTATTTAGGCAATTTCCTTCAGGCCAAACAAACGAACAAATCAGAATTCCAACCAAATACAAAAAAAAACCCTACAAATTGCAGCTTACCTTTTCATCTCGACCATTCTGCGCAGCCGCAAACTGTAAACGGGAAGAGAGAGGAAGAGTTACATGCGCAATCCTCAAACAGCATCTAGACACGATTGAAAAATCCTCTACATATCGTTGCAAATTCACAATCCTTCCTCATTAAACTTTATGCGGCCAGTGTCTATATTTCCTTCTGGACAAGTGGTCACAGATTCCAAAGGCAATGTATATATCCATACACTGTAGGCAATTGTGTAAGTTCAAGATTCGAGGGTGTTTCCCCCCGTCAGTGATGTACATACATGTACATGTCCATATGTGCAGAAATCATGCCCTTTATCCTGGCTGGTGTGACGTGTGAGCACGTACAAGTACGTGTGTGTGACATGTGCACGTCAAGAAACATGTCCATGTAAAGTGCATAAAACTTCACAATGAAAACAACCAGCAGCTACAAATCCTGCACTGGGGGGAGGGGTGGGTACTGCAAGTGAAACACGATCCCTCAGTGAGCGAAAACTGTCATGGAGCCTGTCTATCTCTGGACACCAGCTGGAGATCTGTTTTTGTTCAAGCCATCAAAAACTCATTATCAGGCTGGCACCCATTTGTACCTGTGCTGGTAGTCGAATACTCCAATTGGACTACATTGTATGCAGCATACTCTATGCAGCAAAGTGCTGAGAAAAAAGGTGAGATTTTCCTTTAACAACACCCAAAACAACTAACACTTGTCAGTGCCTGGTACAACTTCAACCAAGCGACAGGAAAAAAAACAACACAATAACCGGAGTTATCCTGGAAATTAATAAAACACCACTAATACCAGTTCCAGGAACCTCGACTTCTTACTCACAGGAATTGGGGAACACTGAAACTATGAATATGTGTGTTTTTTACATGGTGCTAGCAAACTGCCAGCATCAGCCTACGCAATGACGGTTGAAACAAGCAACAATCACCAAAGTATTTCATCTGAGAACTGGCGGGAAGTAAAGGCGGCAGGCTACTGAAAACGAAACTAAATGACTGGAATTTTCCATGCAAGATATTTCTCTGTTGCTTTGCAGTAAAACAAAGTTGTGCAGTGTTGCATGGTTGGAATGGTATAACTTACCATGTTTGAGAAACAAGCAGAAATGTCTGAAACTATATGTAAACACAACTAACCGAGCAACTAGCAACGACATCCATCTACATGGTCATGGTCCGGTATACACCGGTACGTGTAGGCCTACATGGGTAGTTCCAGAAATTAGGGGTCAATTTTTTTGTGTGTCCCTGTCACATCTGTCATATGATTTTGTAAGTTCAGAAAACATTTTCTAATTTCCAAGAGAGATCAATTAATGCAAATAACCTGACAAACAAATACGAATAGTTTGAAATCAATTCCGGCGATATTTCCAAGTCAAATACAAAAAAGGCCCAGATGTAAAAGGGACACACAAATGTCACACTTTTGGACCTCTAATTTCTGGAATTTACCCACATACACTGTACATGTGGTAGGAATAACAGAGGTTCTTCATTCAGGTGCCACATTTTTTGCAGACACTAAGCCCAAGTACCCAAAGCTCATTGAAATGAATTGAACAACCACATGTGTGCAAGCATGGAAAGTTGAGACACTGTTCTCTCTCTCAAAAAAACATGTTGCCAATGTACCAAATCCATTGTGCACTTCTTGTCAAACTCAACTGACCAACTAACTGACGAGTGGGGACACCCCCCCACCAAAACTTACAGTTAACTGAAGTCGACAAACGCACTCACCAAGTTCAACACTGTATGCATCCAGGGGCTAGCCTGTCTAGCTGCCACAACCTTTAGCCTCTCGAATGGCATTTCATTAAGGCCAAATCTGGGCTCCGGAACATACATGTGAAAAAAAATAAAAAATCGCTTGATCACGACCGTACAGCCAAGCAAGATGAAGATCGAGTCAAAGTTGACGATTCAGGCTCTCGTCGGGACTGGTTGTCCAAGGGTGCAGAGTTGGTCCGATTCTCTTACCGGTACATGTAAATGAGACCATTGAACACCACCACCAAAAGTTTATTCCCCGGGAAAAAAAATGATAACAATAGCCCCAGCTCGAAACAGCTGGCCTGCCCGCAAATGCAAGTTAGTGCTCGGTCATGTGTGCTTTTATAGAGTGAGCATTACCAGTTCATCCCCCGGCGAGTTTGAGGAAGGGGAAAGCCTGAGTGAACTGGGGACGTCGTTCTAACCCATGCATGACCGAGGCCTAGCAAGGCTGTCCAACCACACAGGAAGAGCTGCGCAAGGTCCCTGGGGCAGGCTGGGGGCTTCGTTTGCCTTCCTCAAAGCCCAGCTGATCAAGGCAGTGCAGATTTTCTTCCGTGCTACTCAAACAACAGTGTCCGCTACGCGCCTCGGACCAACACAAATGATTAACGCAGAGCTGATAAACAATGAGCTGGCCTAAAATAAGCACACACCCTCTCTTTTCTACAAGAGGAAGGTAAATCTACAGTAAAAAATCATGCACTATTCAAGAACAAATCCACTTCTAACATTAACACGAATGAATTTATTCACCAACAGACATCAAGTCTCAACCAGCAAACTAATTTTTCCCCTTTGGTACATGTACATGTACAGTAGTGCACTGCACTAAATGCTAGAATAATGCATGCGCGTGTTCCATAAAACGCCCATCTCCTTGACTATCACTTCCCTTGGACTCCTCTCAACAAACCAAAGACGTGACAGGGGGATAAATCTCCATTTAAGAGAGGTGCACGTCCTACATGTATCAAGCCTTCCGTTGGATATCCTATCAGTAGCTCTATGGTCCGAATAAGCCAAGCAGTTTGGTATTCTACATGTACATGTACATGCCCCGGACTCCACCATTGTCACCTGCAAAACACTTCATGATGCAATACCTCTATCTCCCCCCCTCCCTTTCTTCTGGTCCTCTGCCAAGCCGCATTCCTTTCATATTTTTCATTCCTTTTGCCCTCTAAAGCCCTTGGCAGGTGTTGTTAGGGTACATTTTTGTAAAGCGGAGCCTGGCAAGGCATGATGCAATCACAGCGTTTTGATTAAACCATGATTAGACCCTAACTTCCACCATAAGTCTCTGTTTACGTCATCTGGGACCCACTGCCCACGGGCCAACCATCAGGTGATGTTGTCATGCATGCCTAGCCCTGCATAAAGAACCATAGTGAATAAACCAGTGTTGTATCCCAAAACAACCCCTGCACCATGTACGCATGTGCATGTACATGTACATGCATGTATATATTGCATCATTCAGTCAATTTTTAGAGCACAGCATAAATTTCAGCATGAATTTAACTGGGCGGAAAACTGGGTCCAATCATGGAGGAAGGAAACACGGTCCAAAGACATAGACACACACTATACATAACTACCGGTACAGTACACATGTAGCAATGCTATGGCATCATGCACCTCAAATATTCACTCTGTTTGAACTGTTTCTGCACCATTACTTTGTCTCAAACTCCCTTGAGTTCTGAGATTTCTGAATCCTAAAATCAAACACAGCACCGGTATCACAGCATTCAATTAATTTCCATGTACATGATACTGGTTGGGTCCTACACAGTCCTGCAAAGATGTACAATGTATTGTACATGTATGTACCTTTGAAACCAGTCATACTGGTAGTTTTGAAGATTTAGTTTTCTATGAGTTACGATGGTTTAATCTTAATATCAAGAAACCAAACTTACAGCGAGGGGATCTCTCCTTTCAACCAATGACAAACATATTCAATTTCTAGTGCCCCTCAACCCTCAAAAAACTGACACGGCGTCACTGTACCGGTACGTTTTAGTTATTTCACGACTCAATCAATTTTGAGAACAGTGAAATACAAAAAAAAATACTTGGTTGTGGTGTTCTGACTGAAACGGACAACATGTTTGCAAAACCAATTTTTTTGGGCAATTGTGCACACTTCTTGCATGCATGTACAGTACATACACCTGTTCGGTGTAACCTAAGCATTTACATGTGCATACATGTACATGTAGATCCTCCCACTCCTACTCATTCAAACTCAGTTCTCAGTGAGCATTAATTAGCCTCACTCCTAACTCGACCACCTTGTAGACCTATGTATTACATCTTTAGGTTTACTTGGGGACGAAGAAAGCGGGACTTGGCTATAGCCAAGACTTGTGCCGATACTAGAAACATTGACGGAAAAGAAAGCCTGATGGCATGCCATGTAATGGAACAACGCCCGTATTCAGTCCACAGTAAACTTGTCATTTGTCGTCAACATACAGTACACCCTTGGCCTTCATTCTGTCACAGCCAGGCACTGGTCAAGCTGAAGTTCAATGATCGCCCACTAATGCGGGGGTTCTCATAGCTATTTAGGCCAAGGTCAATTTAATTTGGCCAAGGATACCGGTATCACAATTCACAACAGCCTGCAGTGACGTCGTTCTTTCTTTCCTTCATTTCTTCTCACAGGAGTGATGTCGTCAATGATTTTGACAGAGCTGTTAACACGCGCTGTTTTTCTTCCCCGTCAAGTGGAAGTACATGTATTTGGCATTGGTAATCTTTGCTTCATACATTTCCTTCATGGGCAATGGGCCGTTGCTGCAATAGTAAACCTTTTCGGTAATCTCTGCACTTAGTATTCATGACTCACACGCTCAGCTATGGAGTTTAAATTGCTAAGTTTGGCATCCTCTCAGAAAAGCTACATGTAAATTAGTACATACATGTACATACTGGAAGTGTTGACTACTCTAAGTTAACAAGCCGACAAGCCAAATTTCTATAAATATGCGAGGTTCTCCTATGCCATCTCACTAGCAATCGTCATGAAACACAGTCCACTGTGCAGGAAATTGGTAGAACACTCTCCGTTTGTGTCTGAATTATTCTTTATTATGTGCAAACGCCTATTGAACTAGTTTTGTTATTAGATGTTGATTTCAAACTACAACAGGTGGCACATGGAAGTGACATCATCTTGTCTACTTTAGTTTACGGTTATTACTTCCATTAACAAACGGGTAATGCCCAGACCCGGCAGATGGAGGTTCTCTGTGTATTTGAAAAGGGCAATTAATGCATTTGTTTTTTATGCAGTTCATGTAAAGTGCTTTTTTTTATGTCCAATTAAAATTGAAATTTTATTTTTTTGCCAAGCAAAATGATACCATACAATGTATTTTTTTTTTGCGCTGGTGCAAATTTTCTTGTTATGGGCACAATGTGGATCATCGAGCATATTACAGGTCATCCGATTTTGCTGTCAGAGCTTTGGTTTACATGTATGCACTCTGGTGCTTTGTTCCAATTGATGACAGAAGTCTGCGACAACACCGGTACACCTGTGAGCGAAGTTTCCTAACAATTGTTTTCAATGAACAAACTGTGAATCTGTAACTTCAACAGAAAGAACCTATGAAAGTGTCTTTCTGGAATGACATCCAAGCAACAAGTACACTCAGATCTCCTGAAGGGGGTTGGACAAATTGACATGTTTTAAAAAGTACACTTTTCAATATGTGTAACCCAAAAGGGTCGTCAAAAAATTTCCACCCACTGTAAAGAGTATGAAAGATACTGGTATGCAAAAAGTGCACCTTAGAAAACAATCGCTTCGACCCTACGAGTCACTGTATCTTGATTACTTGGAAAAGCGCGCAAGGAGCAATGCCCTGTGCCATGCGTGTGTGTTTTATGACACAAGTATCGCGCTCCAGTAAGCAATCTGGGTCAATGGAAATAATGGCCCATCCAAGGGGAGGGGGGGATATCACGCGACAAGCAGACTGTGGGGCCGTTGAGCATAATTGTAAAGCTTACATGTACGTCAGTGGCGGAGAATTCTAAAGCACTGGTGTGATGCTGAGCTTAAGTGGGCTTGCTTTTACCCAAAGCCTTGGAGGGAGAGGAGGGGGCGGACGGGGTGTTATTTTTTCTCCCTTAGTGATGCAATGGGAAAAGCTCGTGAATAAACAAGACGGATGTGGGGCGATCACGCTGTGATTAGAAACAAAGTCAGGCAATCTATTAATTAACGTTGATGATGACGTGAGCTGCTCCTGGCCCTCCCGGGGCGACTCGCCTAGCTGTTGTGATCTGTAATGTTCTGGACAGATAATGTGGCAAACTATCGTGGAGGACGCAATACCTAGCAGTTCTTTCAAGGAATCAGGTGATTAGTTCTGCACTGTGCCCACAAAAATGGCCAACAACAGACCAACCTTGGAAGACTAAAAGCTCTGACAGCTGCAAAGATGTATGTCTTCACAGGTGCTGTAATTTTCCTCAAGTTCAAAATACCATGTAAAGAAAGATATGAAAATTTTCCGTCATCTACCGGTAACAACAAGACTTTAGTGCAACTTTGCTGACCAACAAAATATAATCAATCAACAAAAATACATGTACATGTACATGTAAGCAGTAAACAAAAAAAAACACAGATATTAATTGAGCTTTGAAGCCTTGCCTAAGGTTTGCTTAATTTACTAGTGCATGATCGTTGTGCAAGAATACTGTACTTCACTTGTGCATTTACGGGTACATATTTTTGTTATTGACTGAACACATCTTTAAATCAACAGGACTACATGTACATTACATGTACTGGTACACATACAGAGCACTTGGGTCTTTGTGTTTCGACAAAAAACATGGGGAGCACATCAGTGGAGTGACTGACAATGCAAAATATCCTCCACTGGGTAGGCACATGCTGCATGGCACAAAGGTTAAACACGGTCCCTGGCAGCCTAACGTCATGGAAAATTACAGGGGGACAGGGGCTGGGAGTTTTAAGTTGCCTCACAATGGGCGTTCGCTGCATGGAACAACCCTACATCCTGTCCATATTCGCCGAGCACTATCACATCATTTCTGCCAAGGGCTAAGGTAGTCATATACTAATGCGGTAAGTCAAGAAGATCTATCACAAAACAACCGCAAAACCGCAGTCTCGTTGCAAGATGGCATACGTCAACGGTCCCGCTCGCAGAGTCCAATTCAATCTTTTGTCAAAGGTGAATGTCGCCCCCAAAAGTTCAAGAAACCGCAGACTGCATCGATGGGTGCTCTCTCAGCTGGACAACTGTCTTCAGTAACAGCCCCTCACTCACTCCTTTAACATTCATAGGAAATCTTGAGCGAGAATTCCAACAAAGCTCAATTTCAAAGGACAACCAAATGAAAAATAGAGAATCTGTTTTTTGCTCTTACAAACTTTTCTTTAGAAGGATACTTCTCCACATGTGCATGAATGTACATGTACGGCAATCTTTCAGACATTACTACAACAACAGAAAACAACCTAATGCTACAACTGTGAAAAAAAATGCAACATGGCCAACACAAACAATAAACCCGTTTGACAATCTGACACTGCTTACAATCCAGAAATGCTTTACTTTGCAACACTACTGTTAAATCCACAAGCACATGTCTTTCATGTTACTTTTAAACTGCGCATTCTTCACTTTGGAAATTAGTCATACCGAGATTTTTTTTTCTACCCAAACTATGCACAGGAGATCAGATCTTGTACCTGTAACATAATGTAACCCTCCTCTTGCTGCAAACTGTCAAAAACAGTCAAAAATTCCTTCCACTTCCCCTGTACAGTACATTTGTATATCCTATGTCCCTTGACTAATTTTGACTGATAGGACCACTGTGT